CCCCATCCCCTGGGTGGCTACTGAGGGGTACTGCCCCTTCTAGCTCCCCTGTGGTCTTGCTTGGAGTTAAACCCGTAGATATTCACAGAGAAAGGACTAGAGTAAACTCAAACACACATCCGAAGTGGACGCAAACTTGTGTACGTGACAGACACAGGGTGCACACACCCTGTACGTACTTAGGAGCACATGTGCAGGGAGCTGGGCACTTTACAGCTGTAGAGACACACGTGACCTGCCCATAGGACACGTATTATGAATGTGCATCTGTATGTGATCCCACATGTGGCTCCCAGTGACTATAACCCCCCGCCAGACACACACACACACACACGCACACACACACACACACACACACACGTAGTCATCACAGAAATACTGGGTGTTTGGGGTGTGAGATTCCTGTGTGGCTGGCAGATAAGTAAAGAGGTCAGTGTGAGAAAAGAGGCGTCTTTCCAAGGTGGACAGATTGTCCAAGTGGGCAGTGCAGGGAAGCCTGGGCCAGCCAAGAGGAAATGAGGCCAGTTGGGCCCGGAGGGGCTGTCGTGGGTGCCTTGGGGCCAGGATGGTCCGAGGGTAGCAGGTGGGGACGGCTCCATCCTCGGCCCGCAGGGAGGCCGTGAGGGCAAAGGCTGCAGTTCTTGAGGCTGGTGGACAGCTTTAGTCAGACCTTGCTGACTGCCTGGGCCTCCAGAAAGCAGCCCTCTGGATGTTGGGATCTGAGGTGGTCCTGCCAGCAGAAAACAGTGGCTGTTCCTTCCATAGCTCCCGGGCCCCCGGACCCATGAGTGTTGTTTCTGCCTTAGAGAGTCAGTGGGAGAAGTGGTGGCCAGTGATTGTTACCAGTGTCGCGTCTAGACCAAGGGTGCATGCGTCCCTGCCTCTGCACGTGAAGGGCTTGGGCCCAGGGTTGCTGTGCTCCGTTGCCCTGGGTTGTGAGTCTCTCAAGGGGACAGCCCCCCTCCTCCCCCAGCCGTGTGGCCTGGACTTCTGCTCTGTGTGGAGCACGGCAGAGTCCCACGGAAGCAGGGGAGCAGCTGCTGGCCTGTTCCTGAGCAGATGCCTTTAGTACTTTACTCAGCCATTCCCTATCTTGCCCTGACGGATCTCCTGGTGGCTGGGTGCCTATAAGGGACATGGCCCCCTATTGTCTGCCTGTGGAGGGTCGTTGGGGCCGTGTGTCCAGGTGGGGAATGGTTTCAGAAGTTTGGGTTCTGGTGCCAACTTCATGGAGGAGGGTGGGGAAGAAAGGGCCTCTGGCCTGACAAGTAGGGATGGGGTCCTATGCGCCCCTGTGGGAGGACAGTGAAGACTCTGGTTTGAGAACTGTGTGGATCGAGAAGCTGATCTGAAGCTGGGAAGGGGTTGGGGAGGTCTGGACTGGAGCTGGGATTTGAGAAGAGCAAATGTTTACTAGGTGTTTGACGTGTGCTGGGCCCTGTGTTGGGAGCTGGGTTGCAGAGGCCGGCTCTCTGCCTAGAGAGGAACAGGCACACACAGCAGTTACAGCAGATATGCCGGCGCGCGGCTGTCATGATGTGAGTCCCGGGGGGCCCCCGGGGTTGCCCTGAAGGAGTTGGAGAGGAGCCGCGAAGGAAGCTGGGGGTCTGCTATGCGGTTGGTCAGCTGATGGGGCCGGGGGCCGGGCCTGCTGTTGCAGATCTCCGTGTGCTGGCATCTCGCATGCTCCTAGCAGCGTCTGGACGTGTGGCATAGTTTGAAGCACTTGTATAGATGAGAACTCACTTACTCATCCCGGCAGGTCTAAGAGGTGGAGGCTGTTGTTAGTTCATCTCGAGGAGGGCAGTGGGCTGCAGAGTCTGCTATACCTGTCATGCTTCAGGGCCTCTGAGTGAATGAACTCAAGTGTGTGCGCTGAGAGATGGGGGGGGCTTTACTGGGGAGCGTGAGGCCGGTCAGGTGGCTGTGAGAGCAAGTGGAGGAACTTTCCAGTTTGCTGCAGCGTTGCAGGAGACTGGGTCGTATTGTCTCGATTCTTCAGGTCGTTTAGGGTTAGGGTGAAGGCCCAGGCAGAGCAGAGTGAGAGGTGGAGAGGGCTAGGGTGGTCTGAGAATCCCGAAATGGGAGAGTGTAAGGAGTGACCTGGAGAAGGAGTTTAGGCCTCCGGACAATTGCAGGGCTCCTAGACCAGGGTGGCTCTGGGGTTTGTCACCTGAAAGAGCCAAAAGGGACCTAAGTAGATGGGATCCTTTCATGGGTAGGCAGAGGGAGAGAGGCCTGTGGGGTCTGCCAGCTGGCAAGGCGTGGGAGTGACCTCTGTCCTCATCTGAAGACCAGCCACCAGCTGCTCTGATCTGGGACCAAGTGCTGAGTTCTGCCGGAGGCCAGAGGGCAGCTCAGGAATGGGAGTCTGCTTCTAACAGGCCCAGCTTTCTTTCCAAAGACAGATCTGTTTCTGAGACTGCAGACTGGGACAGAGAAGGACTTACAGGCCACAAAGGGGCCACTGCTGGGGGCCAGGCTGATGCCCAGGGTCATCAGAGAGTGTACCTCCCAGGCACCTGTCTGGGGCAGAAGGGGTAAAAGAAGCAGTTGCAGGCAGAGAGCTGAGAGCTGCGGTGAAGCCCTGTGTGCTCAGAGGGTCTGTAGGGCACCTGGAAAGCTCTGGCCAGCTCCCCGCCCCTCCCCTTCCTCCTTCCCTCCTCTCCCTCCATCCCTCCTTCCCTGTCTTTCCAGTACTTAGGGGGTCATGCTGTGTGTTTTCACTTGAGCTGGCTTTTACATGTCTGATTAATAAAACTGGAAGATGAATTTTTGTTATGTAATTAGGATAATTTGTTTGACAAAATCTAAAAAATGGAGGTTAATGAACTGTGCAGTTTGAGGGGGTCCTTCTGCAGGCAGGTACCATGAACGTTCCAACATTTTCAAACGTTGGGTCAATGTGAAGAAGGGTGTGATGGAGGCAAGGAGGGGTCTGATGCTCCCCCTCCATCAGCAGTGATGAGACTTGGCCTGCTCTGGCCTTGGAAACGGCAGGACGGTGTGTGCAGCCACATTACAGAGGGTCTTAGGACAGGCAGTGTGTGGGAAGAGGAGAGAAGGGAGCAGATGAGCTACTGGGTGGGTTAGGGTTAGGGTGACAGGTTACAAGCCATCAGAACCTAGAGGGCCCTTTGAGGTAAATTTTTCTGCTCTACAAGGAGAGGCTTCAAAGGGGTCTGTTGACTTACTGGGAATCGTACTAGTGGCAGGATCCTGCAATTTGGACCAGTACTTTTCCTGACACCTGTGTCTTCTTATATTAACAGGAATTCTTTCTTTGTTCTATCCAGCCACTGTTCCATCTATTCTTATATTCATTTATCCCTTGACTCACTATCCTTTCTTGCCATCCGTCTACTCTTCTATCAACCCACCCAGCCAACCCCTCCTTGCATCCATTCATCTACCCACCCACATGCGCACCCACCCAACCATCTATCCATCTATCGATCAATACATCGATCAATCCACCAATCCAGCTATCCCCTCTCTGTCGACCCACCCTGCCCACCTATCCATCCATTTACTTATCCACTACCGTTTGTTCCATCCATTCTCCCCGCACCAGCCCATTCTCTTTTCTCTCCATCCACTTAAATATCTCTTTACCTTTGATCTGATCTATCCTTCTGCTTCTCTCTCGTTCCATCTATCCATCCATGTACTTATTCAGCCGGTTGTCCACCCATCTATTCTTCCAGTTAGCACTTGCATGGCCTGTTATATGCCAGCTGCTGTGCTAGGTGCTGGGATCACAGAAATAAATAAGAGGTGGTCCTTACCTATGGGGAGCTCACAATCAATTGTAGCTTCCCTCTCTGATCTCATTTCCTCTCTCTCTCTCTCTCTCTCTGTCTCTCTCACTCACTCGCTCTCACTCCCTCTGCTCCAGCTGTATGGCTGCTCACTGTCCCTTGAACACCCAAACCCAGCCCTGCCATGTGGGTTTTGCCCTGCGTGCCCCTGCTCCCTGGAAGCCCTTTGCCCACAGAGTCTTCAGGCTGCTCCCTAACGTTCTGTGCCTCCCAACTATCCTTTCCTGATGAGCCATCATGTGACCACCCTAGAATTGCAGACTTTCTCTGTACCCCCACTTTGCTCCCTTCTCTCCTAACATTTGCCAGCAGTTGACATGTCATGCATGCACCTGTTTCCTGTCTCTCTGTTCTCTCTCTTCCAATAGATTGTAAACTCCACAGGGTAGAGGCTTTGTTCTGTTCCCTACTATATTCTCAGAGCCTAAAACAAACAGTGCTTGGTACACAGTTGGAGCTCAATAAATACTTGTTGAATGAATGAATTAATCTTGAGAAATTCTAGAATGGTAGGGAATGGGAGAGGAGCTGTGGATGAAACGTGAGGTGGTGGTGGAGCCACGTTGGGAGCCCTCCAGGGTCCTGGAGAGCTGGAAGCCAGGAGGGCAGGAATGGGGGCTAGAGTGTAAGAGAATCTTAACTTACAGGCAGCTGGAGAAGAAAGCCTGGAGCACAGGGGCTGTGGCTGCAGATGTGGACTGGGGTCTGCACGCTTGCAGGAAATCAGCAAGGCCACGGCCATGGGCGGAGTAGCAGGTGGACAGCCGGCTAGCCCTGCAACAGCTGTGAGGGACTTAGAGATCAAGAGTACAGATGGGGGCAGGAATCTGTGGGATGCAGTGACATCAGCCCCACACCTGGACCTCCTGTGCACTCAGAGGCAGGCTCTGGAGGAAGGGACCTGGGAGACTGAGCATCGGTGGGCTCTCGTGAGAGTCTCAGTGAGGACACAACGCCACCTCCATGCCAGTGCGCGTTGCCTGCAGCATGACCCTTGCACGTGACCACAGTCATATGCACACACGCCTATATGAGCACGGCACTTACACGTGACTGCAAGTTACACACACACCTAGGCCTACACATGTACACAGCTTCTTTGCTCCTGGCTTTGGGGCTTGCTGACTCTTTCTGAAGATGGCCCGGCCTTGCCCCTGGCTGTGTGCAGCCACTCCGTAGAGAGATGGGCCAAAGCTCCTACCCTATTCTGGATCCTGACCCCTGGAAGCCAGGATTTCCAACATGGTCCCCTCAGCCTTCTTACCTTAGGACCTTTGGGCCCCTCACTTCCACGTGGGTACAACCAGGCCAGGGGTGTGTGTGTTGGCAGAGGCTGGTGACCAGCATGGTTGAGGGGCAGTTCAGGTCGGTTGGAGGATGTGGCCCTCCATCAGCTCCTGAAACTCCCCTCAGAAACCCGGGAAGACCGGACGAAGCGCCTTTTCCGTCACTACACAGTGGGCTCCTATGACAGTCTCACTTCACACAGGTACAGGTGGGGGCCGGTGGGCGGGTGGGCAAGGGTAGGCATGCATGCGGCTGGGATATCAGGCATGGAGGGAGGACCAGAGCTAGTTGAGGAGGCCTGTGGATGAAGGGGTCAGAGGAGGCGAGGTGGTCCCCAGCCCACCTCTGTCTTCTGCCTTCCTCCGTCAGCGCAAGGGTGACTTCTGGGGTGGGCCATGCCCGTGGGACCCTGTTTGGGGCATGTGTGGGGTCAGCCTGGCCAGCTGTACTCTCTGGCAGGGCTCTCCTCACCCCTCCCTGCTTTCCTCCACCAGCGATTACGTCATTGACGACAAGGTGGCTGTCCTACAGAAACGGGACCATGAGGGCTTTGGTTTTGTGCTCCGGGGGGCCAAAGGTAAGGAAGGGTAGACAGCACCGAGAGTGGGTGTGGGGCTGGCCGCCAGACTGCCAGCATGTGTCTTGTCTCTGCTCCTCCTCTCTGCTCTCCTCCCTGCCTCACCCCTGCCCCATCCTCTGCCCCTGACTCCCCCACTGCCTCCCTC